CCGGCGCGCCGCCTCTGCCCCCGGCCCGCTACCTGGCGGGGGCGGCCGGCGCGGCCGACCTCCGAGACTCTCCGTTGAGGTTCTTCGCCTCCGGAGACGAGGCGGACACGGCCGCGGGCCGGGACTCGGATTTAGCCTTGCTCCAGGCCGCATCCCCGCCGCGGGAGGCGGAGGCTCCGGGGGCGGCGGCGTCTTCGCCTGAGGCCTCGGCCTCGGCCTTGTTGCTGTCCCCGAGCACCCGGGACTTGGAGAAGAAGCTGTAGAGGGTGCTTTGTCGCGACATGATGAAGGCTGCAGGCCCGACCGCTCCGCCACTCCGAGCGCCCACGGGCACTGCCTCCGCCGCGCGGCCGCTGCTGGCGGGAAAGTCGTGGGGGAGGCGCGTGCGACCCGGGGCCCGGCAGCCAATCGGCGCCCGTCTCGGCCTGCGCGGCGGGCGGGGCCCCGCTGCGGACGTGCCCTGACGTCGGCGGGCGGGGCGACCTAGGCGCCTCTCTCCTGGATCCCGGGCAGGCCGGCCTGGAAGGTCTGGGCGGGAAAGCCGTTGATTTTGCGGCCGCGACCTTGGGAAGTCCACCCGTCTGGGACGGAAGTGGCAAGCGCGGTGGCCCTGGGTTGCACGGTTGCTGGAGCGGCGGGGCGCATCCTGCGGGAGGCCGCATCTGACCTGCCCCGGAAACACCTGGCGCTGTGGTCGGTCCTGCGGTGGGACCGAAAAGACCTGAGAAATTGTTACCGTTTCCCGTGTACAGTGTATTCTGCACACTGAGTGGTGTGCAGAGTAGCATTTGTGAATGCCAACTGCAAGGCCCTTGTTAGTTTGTATTTCAAACCACGTATCCCCAAAACTTCCTTGATCCATCATTGTCTCCACTGGTTTACGCCTCACAATATATGTGATACACAGTTAAGGTCCACATTCTTTTATCTGAGCCCTTTGGCAGAGTTACTTTGGATTTTATAACCTGAGATTGTTAAGGTAATCTTTAGCTTCGAAGCCTGGACCCTAGCAACCCTACTCTTCCCAACCATCCTCAATAATTGAATAAAAGAGACAATAGCAAAAAACAGATTTATTCAATGGGCCACATTAGGAAGAAGAAGTTCAGAGACAACCGCCTCTTCCTTCCTTGGGGTACTGACAGGAGGTTTAGGTTTAAACAGGGCAACAGGAACCAGACCAGTCTTTGGCAAGGGGTAGTCTGGCCCACCATTGTCTCTGCTCCCGTCTGTCCTGCAAGGTAATTCAACAAATTTCGGGAATGTGTGGAATCTCCAGAAAACAAGGTCTTCCTCTGGCTACCGCCAGGCTTTGCCTCCTCCCACTCCTCCCCACCAAGAAATTCCTGGACAAATCTCAATTCCTTGGGGTCTATTGTTTCAATTGCTTGGTAGCCAATGGGAAGGGATTTAAGTGTCCCTCTTCAGAATGCCTTCCTGCCAGGTTGATTACAAGACTTTTAGGGAATTAAAGGTCCTATTCAAATTCAAGGAAGAAATTGGAGCCCACAAGGTGGCACAGGCCTTTAATCCCAGCACTCAGGAAGCAGAGGCAGGTGGATATCTGAGTTCAAGGCCAGCCTGGTGTACAAAGTAAGCCCCAGGAGGAACTGTCTCAAAAAACTAAACCAACGAAAGAAAGAGGGAGACTAATGATCTTGTGGTCCCTTAATCCAGCTCTAAGTTAGTATGGAATCAGCCCCAATTAGCAGTACCTTCACTGTAGTGAAAAGAGTGATAAGATTTGCTCTGCTAGGCTAGACAGATAGCTCAGCATGTAAAAGTGCTTAGAATCAAGCCTGTTGACCTGAATTCTATCCCTGAAATTCACACTGAAGAATTCCTGCAAATTACCCTTTGACCTTCACACTCTGGCTCAACCACAGAAATGCTGCACAGTGCACACACAGAGACACACAAACTAAATATATGTCAAATTAAGTTAAAATTAAAGAAACTTTGGTATAGTAGGCCATACCCTCGATCCCAGCACTTGGGAGGCGGAGGCAGATGGATCTCTGTGAGTTTGGGGCTATAATCCAAGGCACAGAGAAACTACCAAGAGAGACCACTCTGTAGGCAGAAAGAAAAATTTACTTGGAATCAAACTGCCAAGGCCATTCTCTTAGGGCAGAGAGAAAAGCAAGCTGAATTTATATGACAGCGAGGTGGTGAATTGAGGGTCTCCTCTTCTCTTGGGGGCTGTTAGCCACCAGCACAGAGGCAGGAGGAGCAGAGGAGGGGCACGTAAACACAAATAGCATCTTGGACCAACTGCAGAGAGGCAGATCAACCATTCCATGGGTGAGAGGAATATATGAGAAAAGGGAAGCATCCGGGAGGTGCTCAGATAGGTGCTCACAGTGTACTTCATTTGTATTAAACAGCAAGGTCCTGTGCTCCTATCACTCATGCACATGGAGGATGTACTACTTAATTATCCAATGGGCAGGGGGAAGGTTGGGAAGTTCTGTAGGAAGCAGTGTCAGAGGCTACTTCTACCTACCTAGGATACTTTGCTAGCTCAGGGACATCCTCCAAATAAGCACAGGCACAGAGTAGAAAGCCCTGCTGGAGGAAGGGAGTCAGAAAGCAAAGAATTAAAAAATTAGGTCTTTGGGTTACTGGATTAAAAAAGTTTAAAACACAAGCCTGAAGAAAAGGCCAGCCACTCGAGACCTGTCCAGCCAGCTGTGGCAAGGAACCAACCTTGCTGCATTCCTTTCTACCCACTAGGGATACTGTTGCCAGGAAACCAGCCCAAATTGGCTCTCTCCCCCAGCAACAGCCAAACAAAGGGAGCCAGAACCGTTAATGGTTTCAACACCTTCCCATAGCCAATCATTTTAAAAAGGAACATCTCCTTTTGTGTTTCAATGAATTGAAACTTGCTAGTCTGGAATTCACCTCCTTTGGGAGAACTGTGACCTATAAATCACCCTAAATTCTGAGCTCGATGCTCTCAACTGGATACCAGTGCCTTGGTGTCTGTAAGAGTCCCAGCTCAAACTGCAAATAAAAATCCTCATGTGTTTCGCAATGGATTAGACTCCTGGTAGTCTTTTGGGGTCTTGCAACTCAGGCACAACATCCTGGTGCATTGGCAGGGAATCCCCAAAACCCCCAGGACCCCGAGCCAGAGAATCAGAACCCCAGGAAAGTGCTTTTGTCTTGGCCAAGTTCTGTGTCTCTGTTCTGTCTTCTGTGTATTTTTGAAATCTCAAGATGGTAGACAGTGAGAGGCTGGAGAACAATCAGGTCGGAAGGACTCTAGCTGACAAGCTGGAAGGCCACAGCCACTGGGACCTGGAAAATGTCCCAGATCTCATATCACTGTGAGGGATACTGAGTCCCAAGTCTATTTGATAGGCCTAGAAGAAAGGGGGGGTCACTCCACCAAGACAGGAAGCACCGCCAGTGTACTGGTCTTGGGTTCTTACCCACTCGCCAGGAGGAAATCTGTTGTTTGGCTTTGTGTTTGTCTGTCTGTCTGTCTGTCTGTCTGTGGTGACTGTTCTCATTTCTTTGGACGGGACTCAGACAACATATAACATGGGACAGACTTCTCTTAACTCCCTAGACTTAATTCTTGCCCATTTCAGGGAGGTTCAAGCCATGTTCCACAGGCTCCAGTGACAGTGGCGAGGAGGAACCAAGGGATGTGGAGCTCTGGCATCTGGTCTAGCAGAGCTCGAAAGATACATTGCTGCTCTGGTCTCTGGTCTGGCAGAATGACAGGCCACTGTTCCAAAGTCTGGTGTAGTTGGATAGAGCACGATTTCGGGCAGGCAACCCCTAACTGAACAGGATGGAGGGCCCATCAAGAGATGGGCCACTGTTCTGAGCTTTGGGTTTTTTTTTTTTTTTTTTCCTTCTTCATCCTTTCTCTTTGCATGCGTTGGACCAATACATTCTTTTCTTCTGTTGTTTTTTTTTTAATATTTTTGTTTGGCTTTATCGTGTGTACGTTTTACAACACACATATACCACCACCAGCACCAGGAAGAATTGGAAGGTGACAGTCTGCCCACAGTCTTGCTAGGAAGATGCACACGTTCTGAGGAGTTAAGAAGGCATACAAGGTATCTTTACGGCAGGTGTGGCTCGCTGGCCTCGGGCTGGCACCTGTGGTGGTATCGTAGGAGGTTAGGCGATTCCCCAGGCCTCTGTGAGCACCTGCGGCATCTTGCACAGGACTTTACGGAGAGAAGAGCCTGGCAGCTAACAGGGCAGGGCCTTTGCCAGCCTCTCCTTGCTGCGAGTGGCTTGGGACCGGACCCAGAGCTGCACTGTTCCGCGTGTGGCTTGCTGGTGGCTACACTCTGCAGGAAGAGGTAAAGGTCCCCGTAGGACAGAGAAAGTGCCTCACAGTTCGTGTGATGGTTAAGAAGGAGAACTCCCCGAGGGTGCCAGCCTCTCTGGAACTTCTATGGCAGAGAAGTCCGGGAAAAGCCAGGTTTTTTATTTCACTTCGTCTCTGTGTGTGATTAATTGTCTCTTGCTTGGTGTTGTGCCAGGAGTTACTGTTTCATTTCTGTGATTGTTTGTGATCTCGCGTTTGTCTGAAAGTGTTTGGTTCTATTGCTGTTTGAAGCCGCGGCTCTTTCACTTCTGTGATTTCAGTTTTGTCTCGGGATATTAGCCCAGGTACAGGCTGTGATGTATTGTCTTTAGTTTCGCTTTTGCCTGAGATGGCCGGCTCCTTTTTGTGTGTGTGACTTACTGTTTGTTGAAATTGCCCGCTTTACTTCTTTGAGTTCTTCTGAATTCTTCTGATGGATAGACAGACTGACGATATGGGGCAGACTACTTCCAAACCTTGGTTCTGACTCATTTTTAGGGAAGTTAAGACTAGAGCTCAGTCTTTCAGTTGACGTGAGGAAAGGAAAATGATGACTTTTGCAGCTCGGAATGGCCCACCTTCAACGTGGGCTGGCCGCCAGAAGGAACCTTCCACCTTCCCACCGTCCTTGCAGTGGGAAATAGTCTTTCAGAAAGCATGTGGGCACCCAGACCAACTGACCTACATTGTAGTTTGGAAGGATCTAGTGATTCATCCACCTCCATGGATCAGGTCCTTTCTGACCCCCACTAACAATCCTCCTTCCACAGGCTCTCCGAAACAGAGGCCACTGCCCTGGCTCCCTCGCCCCCCCCCCCCCCCCCCCCCCCCTCGCTCCCCGAACCGGGGGCCCCTGCCCCGGGCCCCCCCCCCCCCCCCCCCCCCCCCTTACTCTGTTTTGCAGGATGGGACTCCCATGGAGATAATTTTTCCACCCCCCTCCATACTCCTCAGCCAGCTCCAGCCCCTTTATCCAGGTTGGAACTTGTCACTGGCCTGCAGAGACACCTGAATACCACCTGA